TGCCCTTTCCATAGCATCTACCATGCGCTTTACCGTGTCCATTCTACAACAGGCCCATTGTTCCTGCGGACGAGGAAGCAGACTCAGATATGAAGTAGCTTTCCAAGGTCATAGATTGAGTGAGGGACCAACTGGAGTTTTAAACCCGTGTTTATCTCTGCAACGTGTTCTCTTATCTGCTACACTGTTCTCGGGCGAGTTATAGTGTATGTAATGTTTTGTTCCATAATAACCGCTTATCTAAGCCTCGCTGTTCTCGGCCTTTCCACGGAAACCTTTTAACTTTGAGTCCCCACGCTTTGACCGAGCCTGTGTGGCCTTGGCCTGCCGGGGTGTCCACTCTGAGACATCTCGCTGCATCGCTCAGGCTTCCGCTCCTCACTGCCTGGGCCTCCACCCCCAGCCGACAGCCATGCACTGACCTGTCCGTCCTGTCTCACATTGCTCCCCATGTCCTGGCAGCTAGGACTCCTCATCTCTGCCAGGCAGCAAACTCAGACTTGGGGGCCCATCGCAAGTGTGGTTCCGGCCTTGTATTTCAGATCCTCTGAGATGCTGGAAGCATCTCCATAAATAGGAAAAAATTCCCCCAGTGTTATTGTGCTTATGAAATAGATAAATATCCATAAATTGAAACTACTTACAGTCATGCTGTGGATTTAACTATGTTTTCTTTTAATGAATTTGGGGTTTGGATAATTGAAGTTTACTTTTAATTTGGGGGGAGAGCACATTCTTTTTTTAAAAATATATTTTATTGATTTTTTTACAGAGAGGAAGGGGGAGGGATAGAGAGTTAGAAACATCGATGAGGGAGAAACATCAAGCACCTGCCTCCTGCACACCCCCTATTGGGGATGTGCCCGCAACCAAGGTACATGCCCTTGACTGGAATCGAACCTGGGACCCTTGAGTCCGCAGGCCGACGCTCTATCCACTGAGCCAAACCGGTTAGGGCGGGAGAGCATATTCTTACTCACCTACCTGTGCTAGTGGTTCTCAACCTTCCTAATGCCGCGACCCGTTAATACAGTTCCTCATGTTGTGGTGACCCCCAACCATAAAATTATTTTTGTTGCTACTTCATAACTGTAATTTTGCTACTGTTATGAATCATAATGTAAATATCTAATATGCAAAATGTATTTTCATTGTTCGCGACCCCCAGGTTGAGAACTGCTACAGGCCCCTGCCTCAGGTTGGCTGAAGGTGTGGGCCCATAGTCAGTGGCTCAGGGTGGGGCAGGGGGTGGATGTGTCTTCCCCAGCGACCCTGCTGGGGCCCCTGAGCCAGCTGCACAGTCCCTTTCATAGTTATTACTCTCCCCTGAGTACATCAAGACCTGTCCATCATTTCCATGTGACCCGAGTCTTTTCCCCAAACGATGCTTGTTCTGAGTGTGGTCCAGTAGTCAGGCCTCTTGTCACTGTGCGTTTTTAGTGAGCCTAGCAAGTCCTGCTAAATCTGAGGATTTTGACCAATTTGGTTCCCTAAAAACACAGATTTTCTCTCTCATTGACTTTTAAGACCTACAGTATTAATTTAATAAAGCTATGTGATTGGCTGTGCTTTTGCTCCCCTTCTTTTCCCATAAGGGATTCTCTTTATTTGAAACACATGCATGGGAACTGGGGCCAGGGGACAGGTACAGGACCAGATAGTGGGGAAACTGGTCTGAGTCTAGACCCTGTCTTTTTTTTTTAAAGTATATTTTTATTGATCTCAGAGAGGGAAAGGGAGATAGAAACATTGATGGAGAGAGAATCATTGATCGGCTGCCTCTTGCACGCCCCACACTGGGGATCTAACCCGCAGCCTGGGCATGTGCCCTGACGGAATCGAACTGTGACTTCCTGGTTCATAGGTTGGCACTCAACCATTGAGCCACGCCAGCCCTGGGTAGAGCCTGCCCTTTTTTTTTTTTTTTATTCTCTGCTCAGTGGGCCAGACCCTCATGTACCACAACCTCAGCTTCCCTGTCTGTCACACAGAGGCAGTCAGTCATCTCTGCTCTGCCTGCTGTGGCATGAAGTTCTCTGTAAGGATAGGCATGGAAATTGCTTCTGAATTCTATATGCAGCATAACTGATATCATTGGAAGGTACTATTTATTGTTTTGACACCAATTACCTTCTCTCTATACAAAGAGGCAGCTGTGTGACCTTGGCCAAGCTTTTTAATCTCTGACTCAGTTTTCTCTTTTGTCAAGGAAGATGAGCCCAGAGAGTTGTTGGGGGGGACAAAGTGAGCTCCTGGCACCCAGGAAGTGCTCAGATTTAACACATTACTGTGATGTGGCACCGTACATTTAGCTTCCCAGCTTCCCAAGAATTGACTAGCTCAGCCCTATTTACCATTGTATCATTTAACTCTTACAACCAAGAAACTCAGCTCACAGGGCAATGTGAATTGAGGTTATAGAGGTTTCGGATTAAAAACAGTGACATAAATTGCAGACAAGCAGGATCACTTTAGAACTCTCCACCCATCTCCACCTCAGGGACTTGATCGCTATCTGAAAAGGTGGACTGGTTTGAGTGCTCATGCAGCTGCATAAAGATGTTCTTTTCGTTGCAACCTTAGTATGGTGTGGTGGTTCTCACGTTAAGAAATCACTTGCAGGTGTTTAAAGCCACATGTTTGTACTCTCAGGTCTAAGTAAAAGGGGTATTCGAGGCTGCTTTTGACTGTATGCCCCTTTCTTCAAACACTGGCCTTAGAACTGGGCTGACAGCCAATCAGCTTCCTCCAGCTGATCCCAGCCAGGGCATCTTGACCCACCACATCCTGGCTGGTGAGAACTGACCTTTAAATCTTCAGGACTCTTTGTGATTCCATTGGTGTTACATTGACAGTTTGAAATAGGCCATGGTGGGAGTATTTGCACCAGGGAAATTGGCAAACTTGACAAATCAGAACTTTCCCCCACTGGAGGGCCAGTTGTTGAACATGTATCAGCCTACCACTGTGTTTTGCACACGTTAGAATCATCATGAAATTTTCGCCTGTACAGGAACCTTTTAACCTCCCTCTCTCACTTTGTTCCAGTCTCCCTCCTCCTCCCTACCTCCCAGGCTGGTAGAGCTGGTTTCTTTATGAGACAGAACTGAGAAAACCATTTTTTAAAAATTGGGGCTACTGTTGTTAGGATAATTGTGACTTCCAAGGAGGTGTAGACTAGCTAAGGAAACTTAGCATTCTTAGGCTTATTTGCTTTAGAGACAATCATTCATTTGAACAATAAGTTTAGGAACACTGCTTCTCAGGAGAGAGCTTCTGTTGATGTACTCTCTCTCTCTCTTTTATAAATATATTTTTATTGATTTTGGAGCGAGGAAGGGAGAGGGAGAGAAACATCAACATCGATGGGCTACCTCCTGCACGGCCCCCTACTGGGAATCGAGCTCGAAAACCTGGGCACGTGCCCTGACCGGGAGGTGACCTCTTTGTGTGTGGGTTGATGCTCAACCACTGAGCCACGTCGGCAGGATGTGATGATGTGTTCTCTTATATCCGATCTTTCTAATATTGTGATGGAGATTTCAGCCCTGTTTGATTTTCCTGGTTTAAAAACGTGGCGGTTCTGAGAGGTGTGGTGATCCAACTCAGGTCACACAAGTCTGAAACATAGACTTGCAGAACAGAACAGCAAGCTACCACAGAAAACATTCCATTTTTTCCAGAATGATTTAAAGAACTAATTTATATATTTTTATAAAATCATCAAAGCTAATTGCAATCAGATGATTGTATTTAAAACCCTTTTTATGGACAGCAGCTGATTTTTTTGGTGTGCCGAGTTGAAATTGGGGAGTTCTGTGCCGGAATGCTGTCTGCCGGGAGCCTCACCTTTCATTACAACAGAACCCCGAAACCGGCTGCATTTCAAAACCTCCTATCTGGGCGACTTATCAGGGCTTTGGCCTTGAAAGGAATGTCACCCTCCTAATATCTGTTAAACCAGTGTGTGCGCGCGTGTGTGAGGGAGCGCAATTTCTCCTGTTTGTTTCCAGTCTTCATTTTCTCTTCCAAGGGGCTGTACTTGTGTATATTTCACATAGACGTATCAATATTTTTATAGGGAATGAAAAAGAGCCGAGTAGATGCAAAAAAAATGGGTCCTCTCAAGCTGGCTGCCCTGAATGGACTGTCGCTGTCTCGCCTGCCTCTGCCCGACGAGGGGAAGGACGTGTCAGCCAGAGCCACCAATGATGAGAGGGTACGTACAGCGGGCTGGTCCCCTCCCCGGGAGAGCTGGGAACATGCTGCACGTCTGCTTCCTGGGATGCCAGTGCATTTTCTAACACATTCAGAGATCGTAAATGACTGTTAAGGAATTCTGTGATCTGAACCTCAAACTTGGGGCAGATTTATAGCTAATGTCTTAATGGATAAGTTCAGGCTGGAATGTTTTTTTTTTTCCCTTCTGAATGTTCTTTACCTCCTTCCAGCCATCTGTGGCAGTCTTGGTTTTTAATGGCTTTAAAGTTAGAGAGGAGATCTGCAAATGTCTATGGGAACACACAGGAAAGAGGGCAGATGTTGCTTTTCTTTCACTGAAAATTATCTCCATAGTAAAAGATTACAGAAACTTTCAAAACTTCCTTGGCAACCACGGTAGACATGAAGCACGCTAAGCAAAAATTAATTTGTTTACCACTGGGTCCCAGAGATGGTTTCCAACATTTACCCCTTTTTACATTTTTTAATATAATTTATTCATTGATTTTGGGATCAGTGATCCTACTCTAGGATTTCTCTAGGATTTACTGATCTCCACGGGGAATTTTCTGTTTTATAGGGATCACAAAACTGACCATAAATTAGAGAAAATGAATCCAACAAATTGCTTTAGGCCAGTTTTTCACCTTTAAATGGAACGTTTTTTGTGTTTTTTTTTTTAAATATATATTTTTTTATTGATTTCAGAGAGGAAGAGAGAGAAACATCAATAATGAGAGAGAATCATCGATTGGCTGCCTCCTGCACACCCCACACTGGGGACTGAGCCCACAACCCAGGCATGTGCTCTTGACTGGAATCGAACCCTGGACCTTTCAGTCCGAAGGCTGATGCTCTATCCAGAGCCAAACCAGCCAGGGCTAAACGGAATGTTTTTGCCTTTATTTCTCATCAGTACGATTATTTCATTTGCTGTTGTTATGGCTTGGTAAAAATTTAACTCTGGTTTCAACTAGAATTTTCACTAGTAGGTAATGCTAGACCTGAAGCAGCTGTGCAGTCGATGTATAGCTGTGCCTGTGACTTTACTCCTGTTGTCCCCCCGCATTCCGCTCACAGTGTAAAATTCTGGAACAGCGGTTGGAACAGGGAATGGTGTTCACAGAATATGAAAGAATCCTTAAAAAACGGCTCGTCGATGGGGAGTGCTCAACGGCACGACTCCCGGAAAATGCCGAAAGAAACCGATTCCAGGACGTGCTTCCCTATGACGATGCCAGAGTGGAGTTGGTCCCAACCAAAGAGAACAACACCGGGTACATCAACGCATCCCATATTAAGGTGAGAGGAGCATTCGCAACGGTGAACGAGACGTGAGGTTCTGAGTTCAAGGACAAGACTTAGAACGACATTCGCGCTTGCGTTCTGAAAACACCCTGGTTTTGACCCACTGTGAGAACTGCGTTATGTGGTAAACTGGGACTTCCAGGCGCCCAGGCCGGGCGGGCAGTGTTTGTCAACAGAGCTAGAGTCACCGTAGCTCTGACCACAGGCTAAACCATCTGCCCCCAGCAGTGCAATCAGGACTCACAACGCTGACTTGCCCAACTTCAGAACTTGGTCTTCCTAAATTTGAAGACCTCATCAGCTGCTCCTGAGAGAATCTATAAGCGAGACCTGATTTTTCCTCATGACAAACCTACGTATTTTTATGTAACAAAAGTGTCCGGTTTTTTTTTAGCGTTTTCCCCAAAGCTTTTACCTGGAATGGTGCCGTCTGCTCTCTTTGCACACTCCCCGCCATCACTCTTAAACAGTGTTTTGTTCTTTGAAGAGGCAGCACCGCCTTTTCCCTGGAAAG